TTCCTTAATATATTTCTTATAACCTGTAAAAGCTCTTGATTAAACATGTCAAGAGGAAAATTAACTGTTTGTGCACCAAAGAAAACACAATTGATTTCTAATCGGTAGTTACCGAATAGATTTGGATTGTGAAATGATTATAAAAATTGCAAGTTAGATGAAGTATTGATGGTATATAATCAACAACTCCATATGAAACCAAATGCACACTAAAATTGGCTTTTTTTTTTTTTTTTTTAGGTTCGTGTAAACTTTTTTTATTTTTAGAAAATAAGAATTTAGTACCGTTATAACACTGATTGATAATCGTGTAAATTAAAACAAAAGAAATTTTTTTATTTTAATCTATCCTGCAAACAATGTTTTTGACACCATGTAAATAATAATATTCAAGAATCATATACTAAATTTTGGTTTTTGTGCGTTTTCCACATTTGATAAAATTCCCCTTAATTCTTGTCGGGACTTGCGGCAAAGATTCGAAGTCCTACAAGAAAATTATCACATTGGAGAACTTGGATATATATATATATATATATATAAAATACATGTGTTTTGAGTCTTGACTACCGATAAATTATATTTGGTTGATTATGATGAAAATTCAAATGTTGAATTGCCGCTTCAACTCAAAAAATTGAGCGTAGTTGATGAAAAAGGTTGTCCTTTTCGAATGTGTACATTAGCATGGATCAAAGAATGTCATAGTTTGCCGGAATTGCATTTCTCTATATACAATGTTGGAATTGTTATTAGCGTTGACTTAATAGTGTTTGCAAAATTGTTTTAAAATTTGTATGCCATTAATGAATTAATCTTTGGAAACAAAACTCACTCTCCCTATATATATATATAATTATATATATATCAACATGCAAGGCAAATCCCTGTTTTCTTCTTGCTAATCAAGAACGAAGATATATAGGTCATAATGCTTGGCCGAATGCATTCCATATATGGAATGCGTCGAAGCTCGTTGGTTGCATCACATGACTGAGATGCATTTGACCTGTTCGTTAAAAATATTGATCGTGAATGCTATAGACATATAAGTCAAATTCTATGTTTGGGAGCACCAAATCAGTCCATTGAATTTGGAATTGGATGATCGATTTAATGCTCCCATATACAATATTATAATAATTGAATATGCAATTGAAATATGTGTGTGTGAAATTGTAGTATATATGATGCATAATAATTGTAGTTGTATGATTTTTATCCATTCATGGGATGAAGTGTGTGTGTGAAATCATGAAAGTAGAAAAAATATATATATACATCTAAATAGAGTACGAGAAATGTGAGCGTTTCATGAGATCGAATGAGATTTATGAGGTCTCTAAGATATCCAGGGGCGGCTTAATATTATTTAAGGCCTTAAGCAAAAAAAATAAAGTGGCCTTTTAATTAAATCTACATATATTTATGTCAGTGTTATGCTAATTATTTGTTTTGTGATTTTTCAACCTATCACTAAATTTTTTCCATACTCTAGTTCCATTGTTAATTAATTGGCTATGTACTTTCTAATAGTCACATTTAACAATACAAATAAAAATTATAAACAAAATATATAATTTTATGATAACAAAAATTAATAAAACTATAAACTAATTTAAGTTATGGAATAATAGAAACTGATTTTGAATAATTTGGTATAATACTCCAATAAATTCTTTAATAGAATATAAGTGTATTCAAAATCTTATTACAGAGTGAGATTGTAAATTGTAACAGTGGAGAAGATGAAAAAAAAAAAATTATAATGAGAGAGGAGAAAAAATATATAGGGAGTAAGAAAAAAAGAGAAAATAAAAGTTAATAGGAGTCTTAGAAAAATATAGAAAGTTTCACCAATTTCACTTAAATATATATTTAATATTTAGTGTGTGTATATATGCTCATGTAATAAGGGTGAGAGAGAGCAAAAAAAAAAAAAATATATATATATATATATATATAATAATAATAATAATAATAATAATAATAATACAAGGATAGAAATATTTTGGGCATACTTTGTATTTGTTGAGGTTTAATAATATAAGAAAATAAAATATTTAGATAAGTTATAATATATAAAGAAAAAAATTTTGGGGACCCCTCAAAAAAAAATATAAAGAATATAAATCTTTTAGGTCAACTGTCAAATTTCTCTCTACATTAAAGTTTAATAATTAAAGAAAATACTATAATTGTTTTAGGAAAGTTATAATATATAAAGAAATAAAAAATTATGGGACTTTCTTATTGGATGGGCCCTTAGGCAACCGCCTAACTCGCCTAAGGCTCCAGCCGCCCCTGAAGATATCTTTACCTCAATGAATCCGTTAAAGGTGATGCAAAACGGATCTTGTTCTATCCTTGATTAAAGAATTCTCTATGTAAAATACTTTGTGCCAACTGCCTAGGTCAAATTGTAATGTCTGTGAAATAATGGTTTATCTGGAAGTGTAAGTTTCCTATTCCAGTGCTAACTTTGGGTTTGGATGATTGTAATTCTTTTGATTCTCTATCAATAAAAGTTTCTTTCTTGCATTGAATATATATATATATATATATATATATATATATATATGTCATACATCCATTTCCTCGTGACTCAGCCAGACAAGCCATCAATAATTGTGGGATGAGGTGATATAATTAGTATGAATGTGTAAACTGCAAACTGTTGTCAGTATTGCAAACCAAACCTAATTGATCTTTGTTAGAACTTGTGACTTGTGAGTGTAGTTTTGAACAACAATAATGTATGGTAAGGTATCAATGTATCACTAAAAATTGAGTGGGGGTGTATTTAAAATTTTTACAAAAAATAGAGATTTTTTAAAGATTTTCACAAAATTTATAAATTAAAAAAAAATTCCAAAGGGTGGTTTCCCCACTGGGCCGGCCCGTGCCCGATCCCACCTCATGACATTTCTATGTTGACAAAGAAGTCTGAGATATGATGTGTGATGTTTAAGTTATGATATATTCTTATACATATTAGCTATTCCAGGTTCAAATATGTGTCACAGTCCAAACATATTAACATTGCACAAAATAATAATGGACCATATATGTGTTGCTTATAGTAAACACAGAAATATCAACTGGTCACCTCCTCATGTCCTCTGCATTCTATCCATTTCTAAACCTATTAATCAACAGTTCAATAATCTAACTTAACCCAATTGTCCCAATTGTCGTCCTTAATTGAACAGTCATTAAAAAAAAAGAAAAAAAAAAAATTCAGATTGCCGTGGACGAAATCTAAGTCACTAGGATTGAATCATGTCACATATGCATCGTCTAATTATATTAGCATGTAATTTATTAGCGCCACAATTTTCTCAGGTCTTGCCAAAGAATCTACCATTTTCTATTTATTATACATGGTCCATCTTTCTTGAATACCCCTTTTTTTCTCTCTCTCTCTCTCTCTCTCTCTCTCTCTCTCTCTCTCTCTCCAAATCTACCATATTCAAGCATGTATAGTAGATTTGGAGGAATAGAGAGAGAAAAAAAAGAAAAGATAGTGATAAAAGTAATGATAGGAGAATTGAAAAAAAATTGTTATTCTTATCATGTGTTAAACAATTATTTTTGGAAACTGTTTAAATAGATGAGCTGGACAAAAATACGTCAGAATTAATATCGAATTTGAAATGGTTGGTCATTCTTATCATGTGTTAAACAATTATTTTTGAAAATTGTTTAAGTAGATGAGATAGACAAAAACATCGTCAGATTCGATACTTATTCGGGATTAATTCATATTTTTTATCTCTAAAAAAATGAAAAGATAGGGAGATAAATGATAGTGTTTAAATAGTATTTTCATAATTCCGAAAGTGTCATCAACAATTAAAAGGAGAAAACTATCATTCCACTCATATCTCATCTATTTAAAAAGACATAATAGTAATTTAGTATCTCATAACTAATACTATCATTTATTTTCTTTCTAGAATACTCTCTAACAGATTATAGTAGATTTAATTTCACATTCTATTGAAGAGCTCTTATAAATATAAGGGTCCCTTGTTAGAGCATTGCTATCAAGAAATCTCTCGTGACAAGAGCTATAATGATGCAACAATTAAGTATGATCAAGTATGCACGCCTCAGGAAACAAAAATATCATCCAAAATAAACTGACAGTCAAACGGAAAAAAAACTATAAACTGATAGTGAAACGGAAAAAAAACTATCTTCCTTATTTAATCAATGGATTGAAATTTTCAATAGACATAATAAGAGTTCATGATGAGAGGTTCTCATGACAGCATTAATCCTAATTTTGCTTTAACATGGTACCAGTATTAGTAAAAGATGACGACACTTTAAGTTACATGCGTGGTCAATCTGTATGCGTTTCAACAGTAAAAATTACTTAGTGGTAGAAAAACCTGTTAATGTAAACACACAGAAAAAGCGAGTTACACACATAAAACAAATACTAAAACTTGGAATCTAACTGACATTTAGACCAGAGACAGAGAAGGTTTCAATGTAATGGCACCGCCCGAGGATAATGGGGATTATTGAAGTGTGAGGTGAAAAGCACATTACAGCATTGTTGTTTTAACATTAAAGTTTGACCATATATTTTTGTTCTGTTTTTGCGAGTGTTGTTTGTTCTGTTGGTGCCACACATCACACTCAGAAAACTTAGTGCAACGGATAGAAATTAGACCTCTATAGTCCATGCAATGTGAACCTACTTTAGTCCTAATTCTTTTTGGTCTTTTGAGTCTGTGATTGAACATTTGAATTGAATTGCTTTATTGCGAGACTTGGCAGTCCCAAAAGTACAATAATACAGAAAATGTCGGGATTCCATAAAATGATGCCGATAATATGAACCCCACCAAAAAGAGAACAAATATCCCAAGTCTACATACTCTACACCTCATGTTTCATTCAAATTATGCAAGCAAGAATTGACACAGATAATAAGCTTTACACCCAAACAACAAGAATGATAACAACAAACAAAAGAACAAGAAGAAAACTATAAATATGTAAAATCAAGTATACTTAAAATTTTGGTGAACAATCAAAGCAGTTCCTTTTTCTTTCTTTTTTTTTTTTCTTTTCTTTTTAAGAAAGATAATGAAACTGAGGATGAAAGATGTGATTGCTGAGGAGGTACTACGAGTGCTTACAAGGAGGAAGTGGAGCTCCACAGAGGCCGGGATTCCCGGAAAATGAAGATACAGGGATAATAGCCTTGTGAGGAGGAATTCTCCCACTAAGTCTATTTGCAGACACATCAAACACTTGAAGTTTCCCCAAATTCAGAACCTGTTGTGGAATAGCACCACTCAGATTGTTGTGTGATAGCACAATTGTTGTCAATTGCTTGGCATTGCCAAGCTCAATTGGTATATTCCCAAAAAGCCCATTACCAACAAGTTCAATCACCTGCAATCCACTCAATTTCCCCAATGACTTGGGCATTGATCCTCCCAATGGATTGCGCGAGAGAATGAGCGAAACGATAGAAGCCATTGCAGGTTTGTCTCCAATGTCCTCACCAATAGGACCAGTGAACTTATTGTTTGAAAGATCGATGGAGTTGAACTGTCCAAGTGGGTCCTGAACATTTTTCGCGAAGATTGCATCAATGGGTCCTGAAAGCTTGTTGGAGTGGAGATCAAGATCCATTAGGAGTGACAGGTTCCTGAAATCTGCAGGAATTGATGAATGAAACCCGTTGCTTGATAAATTAAGGAATGAAAGATTAGTCATGTTTCCTATCCAAGAAGGCAATTTTCCTGTCAGTGCATTGCTTGATAAATCAAGTGTAGATATGGATGCTGATGATGAGAACCATCTTGGAAGCTGCCCTTTGAGCCCAGTTTTCGCTAACAATAACCGAAAAAGTTTCAAATTTTTGAACCAATTCGGCATCCTCACTAGTCCCAAAGGATTAAAAGACAAATCTAAGGTTTGTAAGCTTTGTAATTTAGCAAGCTGAGGAGGAATTGGACCAGAGAGTTGGTTTCTTGACAGATCCAAGGTCTGGAGATTATGCAAATTGCCAAAACTTGATGGGATTTTCCCTGTAAATTGATTGTTTGAGAAGAAAACATCAGTGACAGTGATGAGATGTCCAATGGTTGCGGGGATTTTTCCACTGAGCTTGTTGTTCTCAAAAATTAGCCTTTCGATCTTCGGAAGCACACCAATTGATGCCGGTAATCTCCCACTGAGCTTGTTCTCCGATAATCGGCAAAATTTCAGAGAACTTAGTCCACCTATGGAAAAAGGAATACTTCCACTAAGTTGGTTTTGGTTAAGATATAAAAGTACTAATTCAGATAGTCCACCTATAGACTTTGGTAAGCTACCACTTAATTGATTTTCTGACAAATCAAGATATTTGAGATTCTGGAGCTTGCCAATGGTGTTTGGAATAGCACCAGAGAAGTTGTTTTGATGAAGATCAAGCTTAGTTAACAAAACCAATTTGCCAATTGAAGATGGGATTGAACCAGACAACTGATTTCCTGAAAGCCCAAGTTCAGAAAGTGAAGCTAAATACTCAAAAACAGGGTTAGGGACAAAACCAGATAAGTCATTGTCACTCAGATAAAGCTTGTTTAGCCTAAAAAGGTATTGAAATGAAATTGGTATTGAGCCTTTGAGCTTGTTTGAGTCAAGAAAGAGGTGGATTAGGTGTGAAAGCATGCCAAATTCAGGTGGGATGTGACCCTGCAATTTTTTGAGATTGCTGAGGTCAAGAAGTTGAAGGAATGTGATGTTGGCAAGAGAAGGGGAGAGTGTGCCGGACATGTAGGTATCGATGAGGAAGTCGTTGTCGGAGATGAGGCCGGGACGAGAGACGTTGATGACTCTGCCGGATGTGTCACAGGCAATGCCATCCCAGGTTGTGCAGCAATCTGAAGAAGATGTCCATGAATGCAAGAGTTTTGAAGGGTCAGAGGTGATTTGGTGTTTGAATTGGAGTAATGCTTGTTTGTCTACTGTATGGCATGCTTGGGATGGAAATGGTGGAAGGAAAGGTGAGAGGAAGAGGAGGAAAATGAGTGAGAAAGCTTGTGTGTGGTTGAAAACCTCCATTGAAGTTTGGAGTTTGGACATGAGAGTTGGAATAGAACAGAGGTCTTGAGCTGGGTGAGTTGTATAGTGGGGAAAAGTTGGGGAATAGTTCAGTAGTGTTGGCTTTGAATTAATACATTTTGTTCCATACTTCCATTAAATGTACATTGACTTCCTTGTAGTCCATGCATGAATCTCGAGGAATTTTTATGCGTTCAGACGTGGGGTGATGCAGGTCTCCCAATATAAAATTAAAATTTAAAAATATAATAAATATTTTTTTTTCAATATATTTTTAATTTATACTTCTAGCATGTTTTATAAATGATATGAGAAAAAACAATTGAGAGAAGAATATTTTATATATAGAAAGAGTAAATTATTATATACTCCGTATTACAATAATAATTAACAAGTTTTTTAATAGATTTAAAATTTTAAGAATAAGACCAAAACGGTTCATTTAAATCACCTTTAATAACCATAAATGGGTAATCATAAAATAATTTTTTTTTTTTTTTTCAAAAATTTGAGGATCAATTCAAATTTTATATACAAAATCATCATTACTAGTCATAAATGAAAAAGGGCAAAGAATAATAAAACCCTCCTTGAGTATGGGTCTTTTACAACCTCTTGTCCAATGTTTTACCAAGAATCTCCTCCAACTATCTAAGGGAATAAAATAGTAGATGTTTGGACCAAAATATTCTTATTACTATTTTATTTGAATAAAAAATTCATATTTCACAAATCATACATCCAAAAATTATAAATAATATATACACGGAAAGCTTATGAAACAAGGATTTCCGAGATATAATTTTGTGTAACATGCTATCATAACCAGAGAGAAATAGACAATCTAAAAAGCTACTCCAATAATCTTATTTTATTTTTAGAAAATAAAATACTTGGGATAGTTACAAGAAAATTTCTGGAATTATTCATTTACGTATGGAGTATAACATATAAAAAATTTAGCCCCAAAAGAGACCAATTATTTATTTTAATATATTTTTTTTTAAAAAAATGACGAGTCTATAAGAAAACGAAAATACATTGACGCACAATATGATATCTCATGAAATCGGTCTCTATTAGGACTAAATTTTTTATATTTTATATTTCATATGCAAATGAATAATTCTGAAAATTTTCTTACAAATATCCCGAGTAAAATAAATTACTGAAGTAGATTTTCAGATTGGCTATTTCTCTTTGGTTATGGTAGCTTATTATACAAATCATATATTTATGAAATTCTTGTTTCATAAGCTTTCTGTGCATATTTTATTTGTAATTTTTGGAAGTACTATTTGTGAGATATGTTTTTGAAGTTATTATGATTTCAATAAAATAGCAATAAGGGCATTTTGGTCCAAACATCTTGTAACGACCCGAACCCGTGGGTCCGGACCATTAACTAGGTACCTACTTGAACCCGAGGTCAACAAGGGTACAATGGTCATTTCCTATGCTCACTAGTAGTAATTAATTCATTCAAAGGTCCAAAGTATGCTCCAAATTACAGCTCGGGTGGAAAAGTCAAGGTACAAGTTAATGGGAAGATCAACCGGGTCAATGGAAAAGTCAGCCGGGTCAATGGGAAAGTCAGCCGGCTGAAGACCCTTCGTCAGCGGTTGAAAATGCATGGTCGGCCTACTGAAACGATCACCAAAATTGTCAATTCTAGGGACTTCTCTAAAATGTACTATCGGCCGGCTGGTGATGAAGTGTCGGCCGACTGATGATGGAGTTTCGGTCGACCGATGGTGAGGTTCGGTCGGTCGAAACAAGGCTTCTCAACTACACAACTCATTGGAATGGTCTCGAGATGCTTGTCAGTGGGCTAACATGCCTTGTTAGCCGGCTGATTAGCCCTGGAATGTTGCTAAATGTAGCCTGAAGGTCCAAAAACTCTAGGCTCTGTAACACCCTATATATTTTGAATTCATGTTTTACCCATATAATATATATCTATGTGGAATTATGAGGGATAGGAGGTTTATCGTATAATGGATTTTGAGAGATATAAGGCTATCAGTTTAGTTTGATTTTTTTTATAAAAAGAGTCCTTATATAACTTAACTACTAGATATATATCTAGACTTGGTGTATCGGCATTTTATTACGTGCAATACTATTCTGTGAGTAACGAAGAGGCGCAATACTATTCTGTGAGTAACGAAGAGGCTAAAACAGATTCCATTATCAGGCAAGTTAACTCTTGCCGTTGTTCTTTCAGGATAAAACGCAACCTTTTTAGTTATTTATTATTCATTAATCATTTGATTAAATAAATTCCTTCATTCATGGTAGGGATGGAAACCTTCATATTATGTAGTAGCAACATAACAGGAGTAGAGTTATGCACTTTTATATTTGTCCATACGTCCATGTATGTTCTTCTTCTTAATTTATTGACATGGTTAATGGATTTGGCTAATGTGTATGGTAATAGTAATAAGTGCAAACCATTGAAGCATATATAGGTATAAGTCAACTTGAACTGTTACTGTTACAGGAGTAATTCTAGTATGTAGTAACTAGTAAGTATGTAGTTTGTCATATATTTATTTCATTGGGTTGATGTTGAGCCTATATAGATGAATCTGATTTAATAGTTACCTTCATATCCACACAAATTAGTGTGAATCTGCTCTTAAATTAATAATGGATTATTTGGGAGATTTATACTGATGTATTTAATTTTATTTATTTTTGTATTGAGGTAATACAAGGGGATTTTATATGTTTAGTAAGTTTATAATCTAATCTAATGATTCATAGATGGAGTTAAGGAACTAGAATGTTGGGTTTGTAGGAAATTGCTTAATTGACCATCCTTGGTTGTGAATTGATCCTGTAGTTGGTTATGTGTGCGTGTGTTCTTATTTTAGGGCATGTGAGTCGAGAATTAGACCTATATATGAAGCCTGTGGTGTTAGTACTGTTATAGTCAATTATGATTAGATTTAAACATTGACAATGGTCTGGTCAAGGATGTAGAATTACATTGCACAAGTCTGAATTAAAGAAGTGGAAGTTCAGTGATGAAACTTGAAATGATACTAGTGACTAAGATTGTTAAATCCTTAGTATTTGTGGTGTAATTATTTTGTACTTTTGACATAATGACTATGGAAGATTTGGATTGAGTGAATATTTGTAGACTGTTATGTGATTCTGGATGAGCACTTGGAGGTTGTTAATATTTAACTATAGTTGTAAGATTACACATGTTTAACTATTATTGGAGATAAAATGACTATATAATATTTTGCTAAGGTATTAAATTACTTGACCGTTTAGATTCATATTCTGTATTTGTACTTGGGGTTATGTACGCACAGCTACGCTAAGATTATGGTTGTTTAATAGGAATGTTAGTATTTAGTAATTAGCTATGAGTAAATGTATTTAGTGTTTAATTGAAGTGATTAAATTAGTCGGAGCGGTAGTTCGGGACTAACCTCTTAATGATTGGTTGAGATTACCGGATCAGTTAGGCATGGTCAGGGACCAGCCTTATGCGAGTGCACTATTTTGTGTTATGGCCATGGGTCTAATGAGCCCTTATTGTGTGGACGTGATTATGGATCATCTGGGTGAGTAGACGTACAACCCAGCCACATGTGTGTAGTTGGTAGTCAGGGACTATGTGGAGCCAGGGGCTCATGTGAGTTATTGGCAATAAAACAGCCAACTAGTTGAGGGGAGCCAGGGGCTCATGTGAGGTAAGTGAAATTTAGTAAATTAATTAATGAGATAATTAATAGATTTATAGTATGAATTCGAGATTCTGATTATCTTATGACATAATGGTATTGAGATATAATAATTACGAGGAAATAATTATTCGATGGGAATGAGATTGTAGTAATATTGTTGTACTAAATGTGATAGTAGCTATAGTTACTATTAGATATTAATATTTATGTACTTCGGCAATATTAGTACCTAGTAGGTGATTTGATGAATGTGATTAATATATTTTTTTTATGGATTGCATTTAAGTATGGGAATACAAGGTATGGGTTGACTTGCTAAACGATGATAGTGTTTAGCAATTTCTTACTGAGCTTGTGAGCTCACCCCTTTATCACTTTCAGGTGCACATGGATTTAGCTTGCAAAGGAGGCTTAATGGGAGATGGAGATTTTCCGGATTTTCCACATTTTGGTTTTATTATTATTTCTTAGCAAACATTTTGTAATAAGATTCACTTAGTACGTTGGTGGATATAATAAATCTCCTTTGGATTGTTAGATTTTTAAATAAAATGTTTTCTTACTGATTTAATCATGAATTTTGGTAGATGTATGATGTGAGTTGCGTACCAGATTTTAGTATAAGACAAAGGTTCTTGTGTTAGAATTTTTTGGGGCGTGACAAGGCTCTTTGTGAGCCAACCCAATACACAACCTGTCCCAACTTCACAACATCAATAATATATATATATATATCACAAGTCACATCATCAATGAAATTAATCAAATAATTAACTCATAGTCATCTCACCCATCCCAATATACCAACATGATTATTATATGCTTCCATGGCTGTAATACCTCTAATTTCAAAAGGATAGTCCTGGTATTTAAATTACTGTTTAAATTGCGATTTTTATTTATTATTTGACTAATTGTTTTGTTTAATTGATTATTTGCATAAATGGTTTTTAATTTCATTATTTGGTTATTTGTTTTGAATTTATTTGATTATTTGTTTTATTTGAAATTAATTGTTTTAATTTATTTAATTGGTTGTTGTAATTAGTTGTTTAAATTATTGCTTTAAATGGTATGCATATATTTAATAGTTTTTACGTGACTTTTATATAGTTCCATTAGGTAAACACATAAGTAGCCGTCATGCTTTTCACTTAGATTGTGTTATAGGCTGAGTAATCTGATTAGGGTTTAACTAAGTCTAGGGTTAGTATGTTCTATAAATACTCATCTAAGAGGTCTGCCTAGGGTTTTAGAATATCATTACGACACAGTAAGGTGGTGAGAAGTTTTGGTGACGTCTGGGTAATTAGCCAAGTGAAGAAACAGAGTTTCGCTGGAACCTTAGAAGCCGACGTAGAGACTTTGAACAAAAGTCTCAAAGGCAAGTTTTGTTTTAACTCTCT